CTTCTTGCTCGGCTTTCGCTGTGTACTTTTAATTACGTACCACTTAAACCTAAATATAGTTTATAGAAATTAATACACGCCCATTCGGGCTCTTACTCTAGATACTTATCGAAAATAAACAGGTAAAACGTGACTTGTTTATGAGAGAGAGAGAGATACGCAAATGCAAAATATTAAATACAAAAGTACAGTGGGCGGTCTTTTCTCTAAAAACGACCTCTTCCAGATAACGATTGAATGGAAAATTATCATTCAGGGTAAGAAATTAACCGCGGTGTAATTATCGATTGAAAAGAGAATATATATTTTTTATATTATTTTTTATAGCCCGTGTAGGCAGACGAGCATACAGCCCACCTGATGGTGAGTGGTTACCGTCGCCCATGAATATGCGTTGCCCATATAAACCAATAATAATGAGGATTATTTTACTTAGTCGTGTAATGCTTATATTTCATCCGCTTACTCGCCCCATTGGATCACGAACGTCCGTCATTTTAATCGGAAAGGCATACGACGCCCTCGTAGACATTCCCTACGCTTCCCGGGATACCCTTCTGAGAAACGTAGGGGTGTGTGCAGCGCCTAATTCAAGCGAAGTCTTTAAGTTTGTAGCAATGCTATGCGACACACGTTCTCGTGCCCAACACTCATAACGGCAGGAAGTGGACGTAATCCATCTCTGTCATGTCAAAGTCGCAGTAACCGTCGCGAAAAAGCAACTGAATCAAGAAACGTTCTCGCATGAACATTGAGTACTTGTTAACATTTGTCCTAATGTGATTTTATAGCCGCATGGATGCTTTTTAACCACCGATGATGAGTGTTTATGACACATCGCCAGGATGATCTATAAAAACGGATGGAAAGAATGAAATCTGTTCCCACTCCAGGAAGTGCGCTGGTAAAAATCAATCAGTGCGCTGTCCGTGGATCAATCGATACAAAACACAAAGCATAATGGCCCTTCATACACTCAGAGATGCCCCGTCATTCACGAGGTTTAGATTATCGATATTCCGAACGACCCACTACCGTATAGAGTGAAATAGAAGGAGGTACTTGGGAAGCCATGCTGTTTTTCGTATGTTTCCCAACCGAATTACATCCATTGGGAAACATTCAGCTGCTGACCTCGTTTTTATTATTTCCAAAAAATCATAACTCTTCACTATCAACAATATAAACAAAGGATTACGAAATACGATCAGCAAAACCACGCTCGTGTAACAAAATGGAATGGAATAATTCAGAACCAGATCTTTACTTTCTTAGAATTTCATATGAGGAAAGTTAGACATTTTACATGTATTTTCGTTTCCTCAACGCATCAACATTATTATGCTATATACCTAGAGTGCTTGACCCTTACAACACTAACTAAAAGAAGGAAAAGAAAAAATACACTTCCGTGAAAATAGGATTCTAACAATCCACCGTTTACGAGCAGTTACGAACAAAGTAGTTGTAGTTTCATTTCGGCCACCTAATAACCGCGGTTTTAGTTCGAAACGAAGCCTTAAGCACAGTGCATAGGGACGAGGCTTTTTCGAAATTTGTAAGTTTAAATGAAACGACACACAAGTCATGCTCGTCCGACAGGCCGCGATATTAAAACTGGCTAAGCGCTCATTTAGAAAACAGCTTCCGTCGAGAATATTCAGAATCTAACCAAGTTTAAAGTCCGCGGTATGAATTTTAAACGAAAAACTACATTGGATATGAGCAGCGATGCGCGCGTTGTGTAAACAGTACGTTGTTCCTGCGAGTTATTTCTAAAAAAAAAAGACGCTTCTGAAAGGATGCTGCACCGACAGTAGAAATAAAATATTATACGGCTGGCTCCACTTCGGGGATAAAGTTTCACGAACTAGGAAAAATTTTATATTGTTTTTACAAACAAATCAAAATATAAGGTTATTATTATCACAAAGCTCCACAACTTGTTTGCATTTTAACGATGTCAAATGCAAGTTTTATTGATTTATGTATATTTCTGTAGTATAAACAAATATTGAACATTCTCAAAATTCAATATTACATATTCACATTGATATTTCTCAAAAATGACTATTTGTAATACATATCGCAAACAAAGTACAGAAAGGGCGAGTCACTGATAAGAAAACCGCCGTAGGCCCGTAGGTCCACGCAGACAAAGGACTTAGTTTGTTTTCGGCGGAACACAAAAGAGGACCCTAAGTAAGCACAAACAAACATGTTACGTTCAAATTACATTGAACAATTCCAAATGGTCTTTGAAGACATCCATTACTTTAATTTCGGTCCCATTGATACCATCAACATGCTAACGTTGCAATTTTCCATCAAACAACTAGTTAATAACAGTTTAATGTTGATATTTTTTGTCGAACATGAACATTATATAGCCTGTGTTTTTTCGACTATGTGACTCATAAAAATCATTTGTAATAGACACGATCATTTGAACGTGCGTACTATAAGAGGGTATTTATACTTTACAATTTCCATGTAGATAAGCAGATGAGTGTACTAGCATTTACTAAGTGAGTACTAAGCATTTAAGATACAGACTTCAATTTTCAAGGCTCAAGGTATTCAGTGTTCACATTGAGACTTTTATTTGCTTCGGTAACCACTTCAACCTGGGTAGGCTGTAAACTTATTCACCCCTCACAATCGCACTAGACATTAAAATTGAGTTATAATTACTATCTTCATTGAAATAATTATAAAAAGACAAGTGGTATCCATATAGTCGTAATAAGAGTCCTATAATCGTTTTAGCTGTCTTCATATAAACATTAAATCAATTCTGAAAATTAATCTTCAAACTAAAACATGACTATTTCGTGACAGAAATAGAACAGGATCCCTACCAACAGAAGACACTTACAAAATAATAATAATAATAATAATACTTACATATATTTACTCCACAATACAAATAACTTTTCCATTAATATGATATACATTTCTAATTCTAAACAATATTACAATATATTAATTATACTGACAGTAGAGATAAAAAGGCCGCGGCTCAGCTTTGTGATAGCTGAAACTATCGTTGTTATTCTGCCGCTGTCTGTAATTTTAATCTATAAAAAAAATCGGTTGTCTGTAAAGTCGGTTTACAGACGATAGTTGAACGTGACAACGTCATAAGAAAATACTGATGGAATGGTTTCATTTTTCAAAAGATTTATTTTATTTTATTTGTTTGATAGATATTGTTGCTCGTTGCGCGCTCTCGCTTGCACTTCAAGCCTTAAATGGAACGCCTCAGAGTGAAGTAACGCCGCATGAGTCATGTTTTTTCGTGCGTGCAGCTGGTATCCATCGAATTATAAGACGTTGTCACGTCAATAATAATCTAAACTACTAAACTACTAAAATTTACTAGTTTAGTTACTAATTTCCGAAGGATACATTAATGCTCGCCAATGTATTCATCGTTTAATGTTTAAGTCAACCGCACGCCTTAAAGTTGATCGGGCAAAGCCGGATTTAACTTTACATCGTCCAAGAAGCTTTGAAAATAATCTGTTATGTTTCGTATCTTGTCGTGAGTTTTGGAAACTTTAGAACATAATGCTCTAACAACATAATCGATTTATTGTTTATTATGTACTTAATAATCGTCATTCTGACAGCTCAGTTTTTAGTACGCTTTTAGTAGCTTCAAATGTATCTATGTTAGTATGTATGTTTGTAACGGAATCTTTGAACATGATTTTGACCGCCTTCAAAACGTCGGATTAACTTGAAATTTGGTATACTTATTAAGGACCGATGACAATTTAATATTAAAAAAATATTGAAAAAATTGAAATTCAACTAAAAAAATGAAGAAAAAAATATATTTAAGAAAACTAACAAAATACGCTTTAATAGAAAATCCAACTGAAAAATAGAAAATAAATTTTAATAAATTTGGATTAAAAATAGTTTAAGAAAAAATGATTTTATTGTAAAAAAAGCGTGGGGTGCATGGCAATTATGTTGTTGATGTCTATGGGCTCCGGTAACGGCTTAACACCAGGTGGGCCGTGGAATCATGCACCCCTATCTACGTCTAACGTCTAATCCAAACTGCAACGCGTCATTAGTTCGGACCAGAACGATCGTTCCAACAATGAGTGCAATTTTAAAAACACAGGTCGCTCTTTTTTCGTAGTTCACACTATTTATTTGTACGTTAAAATCATTATATTTGCCATCTCTTTCATTTTAAAACTAATTGCGTATTCTGAAACGAAAGCATAAAGCTATGATATTAATGAGTTATCATAACACGACACAGCTGCATAATTTCATCGTTAATTCAACAGTGAAGTTATGAATAGCAATAATTTATTGCCCAATTTGTTATGAATCCGATATTCGGTTGATAGAGTAACCCAACCACATCCGGTTTCCAAAACTGAACAGAAATACGACAGCTGATAGCTTCGAGCTTTTGAGAACAATCGGGGCGTGTCAGAAATTTGCTTTGTACTATTTTGAACTACACGATTCGCAGAAGCAATCCAGTAATTTGAATTAATGTAAGAATGGAACAATTCGATTACAACAACAATAACAACAACAACAAAAACAATCAGCAACGTTGAAACAATTATAGCTTATTATGTACACTATAAATTTATTACACTGTATAAAATGTATTACACTGTAAATTAGATGTTATTACTCGAAAATTAACATGTGCGTGATCACAGTGGTCATCAAATGTTTAAATATTCACATCGCCAATGAACTAAATAAAGTTCAATGGATAATTTTGAGCAAGTTGAGAAAACGTATCGAACGAAATGTCTGTACTAAATTGCTCTAAATTCGAATCGCACAGCCTTCTAAGGGAAACGGAGTGTTAAGGTGAAATTATTATTAAGTTTGATTCAAGTCGTGTGGAATGTGAATTTAGCGAGCGCATGTGCAGCGAAGCGTCGAAGTCACTGGGAGAAGTACTTTACGCTGAAGCGAACTGGTGTACAGTGTACAGTCGCGCCGCGGAGCACGGGCGGGCCTCACGTAGCGCTACGCTGCTACGGGCTACGAACTTCTACAGCTGAGTAAACGCGTACTATGCCGCGAAAACTGTGAAGTTTCATATGTTACGCTACGATGTGTTCTGAATAATGTTGTTAAGGAAGTTTTTGTTCTACATACACTTGGGACTTGTCTTCCATGTTGTCATTTGTTTTAAAGATACCACTGGTAAGCTTTTCAGACTTTTTTCCCAGGAACGAGGTTTTTATTCAGAAATTAAAAATACATATTATCTCTTCTTCGACGAAGTATCTTTGACGTTGATTTAAGGTTTAAGGAAGAACATAATAATGCGCTTTCTTAATCTTCGAACCTCATCAAAGTATAATGATAATTGAATATCGTAACCGTAATATAAATGTTAATGATTATTAGTGTTATAGCCAGCGACAAAGTGGTTTTCGTGCAGCAACTTCTTACCGTATATTAAATTAAATGATCTTAAAGAAAATTTCGAGACTGCTGATAATTTTTATCATGATTAGTAATTAATTAAACAACACCATTAAAAAAAATAAGTACGTTAGAGGGAAGATAACCGAATAAAATATATTGAGACTAGTTTTTAATAAATAAAAATTATTGCCTTTGTAGGCAGACGAGCGTACGGCCCACCTGATGGTAAGTGGTTACCGTCGCCCATGGACTTCAGCAATGCCAGTAGCAGAGCCAAGCCCCTGCCTACAAATACAATATTTCGTTTTCCATGTTTCTGTATGCAGCAACTGGGCTGTGCCTCTGGTATTGTTGATATCACTGAGCAACGATAACCACTCATCGTTAGATGGACTGTATGCTCATCTACCTATAAAGGCTATAAAAAAACGTTCAAAAATGACAACAATTTCAGTTATCGATTATGATTTAACAAAATAATATATTACTATTCGAACTAAATCTTAGCTAATATGAGTCTATTAGCTCCATAACCCTTCCGGTTTAAACTGGATACCAAAACCCATAGAAACTACACCGCGAACGATATCGCCAATGATTTTCAACATTACCACACCAGGTTCAATTCTCGGTCAGATTTATTATAGATATTTCATACTTGAGTTCGGTGTCTTGTTTCATATCTGTATTCCGATACCATAACACAGGAGAAAACCCTAGCATGGGTTCGTTGAATTTCAAACGTTTAGAATATATGAATACCGCGGGTTCAAATATGATTATTACGCAATAGAAATTTCCTAAGCAGTGAATTAGTTAATCACTACATAGTATAAAACAAAGTCGCTTTCTCTGTCCCTATATCAGTCTGTCCCTATGTATGCTTAAATCTTTAAAGCTACGCAACGGATTTTAAGGCGGTTTTTTTTAATAGATAGAGTGATTGAAGAGGAAGGTTTATATGTATAATGACATCCATTAGATAGTGGAGAAATCAATAATAAATTACAGTTTCCGAAGCGAAACGAGGGCGGGTCGCTAATTAGTTATGTAAAAAAGAAAAAAAGGAGACAGTAAACCTGCATACAAGCCTACGTTGCGTAGACTAACCATCTAATTATCACAGCAAACATACATATTATCTATGCAATCCTAAGACATCAAAATTCTAATAAAATTGCATACTAGGCGTTTCTAAAATGAACTAAATCCGTGAATAAAAAAATATTGATAATTCTTTCCCTAATAAATTTGCATTTACAGTCACGTAATACAAAAAAATCCACTCAAAATGAATTAAAACTTCAACATTTTGTAACGTAAATATCTATTATAAGTTCGCGTGTTGGTAAACGTTCTTTATTGTTTGTGGCTTTCGAACTCCCAGTAAACCTTTTATATATGGAAGAATAGATGTTTTATTACATTAGCATTGTGGGTTTTTGATTGAAAAATATCAATAAATCATCGATAATTGTGATTTAAAAATTATACGATGTTAATTTAACAACGATGAATTAAAATATACAGAAATCATTGATATTGCCAGTACCTTTGCCTGAGATTAGATATAAAAACTAAAATCCTTCTTATCTTTTAATATTATAAGTTTGAATTAAGCTGTGTGAGCGAACAAGCTAGTTCAATAATGATATTTTAAATGATATTTAAGACGTTTGTAAGAAAAAATATTATAACATTTTATTAATTAACTATAAATTAAAAAGTATAGATCGTTGCATCTCTCATCACTCTAACTATTTAGAGTTAATGAAGAAATTATATACGTCAAAGGTATTTATTCCTTTTCACTTATATTTAAAGAATTACAAATTTTCCTATAGCGTTACATAATTTCAGCACTGTAAGACTAATTTATTTTATTTTATTACTTACAAAATATACGAACAGCAAAACTGATAACAGCAATCTTAACTTTAAATTAACTTGGATCCGAAAACGTTATCACACACACAACGCTATAAAAATAATGAAGACAAATAGACCACAAATTCTCAAACCGCTCCGGCACGCCGTGAACACGAAACAAATAAAACAGAAACATTATTTAATTTACCACTGGTTAGCTAATTAAGGCATTCTCAATGATCGTGTATCAAATTTGACACCTTTATAAAACTGTGCATTATGTATAATTAATATACTATGTAATACTATATAGACACTTATGTAACTTATATAAGTTAAGAGACGTATGACTCTTTACCCACGTGAAACTTTGAGAAATCCAATCATTAACCAACCCTGTTGATAGTACCTGCTCTTTGTAAGCCATATAACCAATTCCGATATTACAGGCTGTTTAAATATATTATTTACAAAAACACAAATAAATCGATATTCTTTTGTCATTGATATTGTAGGTAGACAAGGATACCACCTGATGGTGAAAAGTCACCGCGGCTCATGTGAAGCCGACAAGCCAAGTCACAGCCTACTACTGAGGAGTAAATACTTAAGACATTGTTCCACACGATTTGGTGTAATGTGTTCGCATTTGTAAAATACCATCTTTTTTATCTAATTCAACTAAGAAATTATCTCAAAGTGGACGAAATTATTCCCGAAATGACATCCTTAGGCTCCGGTGAGCATTTAATACCAATTGACCTGTGAACTTTATAATCTACCAGATTATGCTACTGATCATAGGTGGTAGTCTGAGTAATTGGTGAGAGTATGTTTTTGTCGTAGATTGGTGTTGCACGATGTTATCCAAATCAGCGATACAACATTTTAATTAGGTTGTCCACGGTTATTTGTCACATAAAGCCCATTATGACTAGAATTATAATTAAATGAATCAACACTGAAAACATTTATATATTTACGTAATAGATTGTTGAGAGCGCTTGAATACATGAAATTATAAAGCTATAAGCTAACTTTTAAAACATGAAACGTGATGAAAAAAGAAAGCGTAATTGATCTTTTAGCCTACAGAAGAACTATTGAAGAAATATTCTTCAATGCAAGTGGTCACTGAAACAAAAAGTTTGAAGACATTTGCCAATTCCGGCCTCTCTATGATCTGCGTGTCTCAATCACACACATCACAGCAACCAAACATAAATACCGTAAATCAATCCATTTCCAGTCTTGCTTGCTTTTTTTTTCTAACAAATATCAATATTATGGAAACACCTAAACACTAACAATAGGCCTTGCGTAAATAGATTTTTATCATCATCTCATTATTGAGCGATAATTGTTAGGAAACGATCACCCTTGCTATCCGGTCACGTCAGCCGACTTCCGAGGAGCCATTAAATTAAGAGCAACTAAACTTCATTTATCTGGCCCTACACTTCTACGGACGATAAGGTTCAGAAACACGGCTGCTAACTTTCTACAAACTTACACCTAACTTCGGCGAAAAGTTATCGAATCACGCCGATCGCTTGAAAATTTGTTACTTACCCAATATTTTAAATAATCTCCTTTACAACATTCCTTATCGTAAGAAGTTTGCGCTCCGGTATTGATTAATTTTATTATGATGTCTTCTCGAAGATTTTGCGTTAACTCACATTTTACTATTGGACGTAATTACGTAACGTTAGTACAGTTATATTTTGGTCAAGAGCAATACGTTTCATTAACATTAACATATAAGATTATTTAGTATTAAAAATTTAAAACCCGATTTTAATATAAAATATATACATATTAATATGATAACCAAAAATAATTGGTGAAATAAATAATTCGAAACAGAATTCTAAAGATCGACCGGCGTAGATTGTTTTTTTACATTAATATTCTTTTATCAGCATACTAATGGTTATTTCCTTACTCAAGAGTCAAGGTTAAGGTAATACAACCACATATAAAATGATTAATTTTATTAAAAGCAACGATACACATTAAATAGTTTGAAGTGGAATAAACTTTTTACCTAGAGCCAGATCGCGTGACGGATCACGTTTGCCGAAGCAAGCAACGCGGGCTGCCAGCCACAATAAAAATCAAACTGGTTTCTTTATACGAAGCCTTTCAAAATGTTCAAATTAAGAATAAAATTCGAACGTCACTTAATCCTATCCTAACCTAACTAACCCCATACTAATTGCATATCATAATTTCATTTAAAATATAATATATACCACAGCTCATTTTACAATACAATAAAAAAATCGACCTTGTGTCTCCAAGTGGACGGTGGTAGTCACATTGTATAACGTCCATGGACTCCAATAGCCGCATAAAGCTGTCTGGATTGGTAAAACCGTACACAAATTTAGTAAAATTAAATATAGAAATATTAATGGATGACAACCCTATTCCTGCGACCGACAAGCACGCCAGCCGGCGAGCGTCTATGCGATACGCAAATATTTATATCGCTCCCTCAGGCACAAGTCATTGCCTGAAAGCGTTGTCTTGTAGCCGATATCGCTATAAAGTAGAATATATTGCCTGTCGATTCTCTTTTAAAATCAGAATAAAAATAAAACTGCCGTATTCACGTTGAGTTGTTTATTGGTGTTTTAGAAAATCATGTTTCCACGTATTTTTCCCGTTCATCACATGTGCCACTAGTAAATATATCACCTGACAGACTCATACCATAAATCCTGAGAGAGCAATGAACTATACGTTAAATGATGACGCAGATGAATAAATCACATTGAATTAGTATTTTATATAACTCGAGGTCTTTAAATTAGAATGATCCCAGCATGGCAGCGTCCGCAATTAAAATAGTTTTTCCGCACATTCGCTAAATTCTGACGTAAAGCAGTAAAGCA